CTTCACAGATCTTGAGTGCAGGATGAGAAACAGTAGGGGGGATGGAGGGGGAGGGTGTTGATGGCTGTGCTGTGAGACGGTCGGAGTGGGTGTGGGGTGTCAGACCAGGCTTTTGCTTTTCAAACCTGCAGTAGAACTCGTTCAGGTCTTCAGCCAGTTGTTGATTGGCCTCAGTGCTAGGGGATGGGGTCTTATAGCTGGTGATGACTTTCAGGCCTTTCCACACTGATGTGGGGTCGTTGCTTGAAAGCTGTTTTTTTAGCTTTCCAGAGTAGTTTAACTTTGCCACTCTTATCTCCCTATTTAGTGTGTATTTGGCCTGTTTGTTCAAGGCTTTGTCCCCACTCCTGTAGGCATCCTCTTTGGCTTGGCGAAGCTGTTTGAGTTTTGCACTGAACCAAGGTTTGTCATTGTTAAATGTTAAAGAAGTCCTGGTGGGAACACACATGTCCTCACAGAAACTGATGTAGGATGTCACGGTGTCAGTATGCTCATCCAGATCAGTAGCTGCAGCCTCAAAAACACTCCAATCATTAAGTTCGAAGCAGGCCTGTAAATCCTGCTCTGCTTCAGCAGTCCATCTCTTTACAGTTTTTACTACAGGCTTAGCAGATTTGAGTTTCTGCCTGTAGGCTGGTAGAAGATGAACCAAACAGTGATCAGAGAGTCCCAGAGCTGCTCGGGGGACAGAGTGGTATGCATCCTTTAAAACAGTGTAGCAGTGGTCCAGTATATTGCTGTCTCTGGTGGGGCACGTGATGTGCTGTCTGTATTTAGGCAGTTCACGGGTGAGATTATCTCCGAGAATGATAATGAGAGAGTCCGGATAACGCTGCTCTGTGTGTGTAATTTGATCAGCCAACAGTTCTAGCACCGCGCTCAAACGCGCATCAAGAGGAATGTACACACTCACCAGAATAAACGAGGAAAACTCCCGCGGCGAATAAAAAGGCTTACAGTTAATAAAGAGAGCTTCCAAGTTTGGGCAGCACATCTTCTTTAAAACTGTCACGTCTGTAAACCAGCCTTCATTGATATAAAAACAATCCACCACCTCTCGTTTTCCCCGACGACTCGGTGACGCGGTCGGCGCTGAACAGCTGGAAGCCCATTAGATGTAACGCGCTGTCCGGGATGGCTCCGTTCAGCCAGGTTTCCGTGAAGCAGAGCGCAGCGGAGTTTAAAAAGTCCTTGTTTGTGTGGGTGAGGAGTTGTAGTACGTCTGATTTATTTGCAAGGGAGCGGAGATTCGCCAGATGAATACTCGGCAGCGATGTCCTAAAACCGCGCTGGCGGAGTTTCACGAGCGCGCCAGCGCGCTTTCCTCGCTTGCGTCGCCTGGAGCGCTTGTATAGGAACGCAGCTCCTCCGACTAAAATGTCCAGTAAAAACATCTGAATGCTCAAATGTCGGCAGAAAGTTATTTGGTGTGCTATTTCTGATGTCCAGGAGTTCGTTCCTAGTAAAGCTGATCAGGAAAAATTGCTTAAGACAGGACAAACAAACAAAAAAAGTACAAGTACCAAGTAGCGACAAACCATGGCTGCCATCCCTTATGTCCAAGAGTTAGTTTTTAGTGAAGCTGATCGGAAAAACGTTGCTTAAGACAGGACAAACAAACAAAAACAGTAAAAGTACCAAGGAGCAACAAACCGAGGCGGCCATGTGCAGCGCCATCTTGAATTATGTTGAATTATTCAAGAAGGGGGTCTCAAAAATAGCCAACAAATATTACTTTACTAACTTATTAATTTTAAGTTAAATTGTGGTTAGTTGGTGTAATGTCTGCTAGAATGTAAAAAAAAACAAAAAAATGTTTGTGTTCAATTCAGTGTTAAATAAATAAAAAAAATTCAGTGTTAATAAATATTTTTTAATTATTGTTTTTTAATTGCTTTTTTTCTATGAAAAGCAAGACAAAACAATAAAAAGCACATTTTGGCTATTTGTGACCCTGGAGCACAAAACCAGTCATAAGGGTCAATTTCTGAAATAAATAATCTTTCCATTGATGTATGGTTTGTTAGGATAGAACAATATTTGGGTGAGATACAGCCATTTGAAAATCTGGAATCTGAGGGTGCAAAAAAATCTAAATATTGAGAAAATCATCTTTAAAGTTGTCCAAATGAAGTTCTTAGCAATGCATATTACTAATCAAAAATTAAGTTTTGATATATTTACGGTAGGAAACTTACTAAATATATTCATGGAACATGATCTTTACTTAATATCCTAATGATTTTGGGCATAAAAGAAAAATTTATAATTTTGACCCATACAATGTATTGTTGGCTATTGCTACAAATATACCTGTGCTGCTTATGACTGATTTTGTGCTCCAGCGTCACATATAATTTATGCATAGTGAAAAACATTGGCAAAATACATGTGGGAAAAAAACACACAAAAACGTGTTGAGTTTTGGCTTTGGCCAGGACTTTTCCTTTCGGTGCATCCCTAATTCTGAATGAATCCTGAGATTTCTGTTCTGTCCTTTGAAAGATCATTCAGCGTTTCAAAAACGTTCAAAAAGACTTCATGAAAGTAAAATGGGTTGATTTAATCCAAGTCTTCCTAACAGACACAATCACTATATAATGAGAGATTTAATTTATTACTATGAGCAGATGTTATTTTTGTATAAATGATGAGATGTATGATGACAGAATCCCGGTGTTTGTGTGCAGTTTTCCTGAGAACATCCTTCCAGACGCCGAGGACATCGAGCCCAAGACCATGAGCATCGGCTTCAACAACGTCTTTGAGGTCGGCTGCGGTACGTCTGCGTTTCTTCTGTTTCTTCTGCGTTCTTCTGTTTCTTCTGCGTTTCTTCTGTTTCTTCTGCGTTTCTCTTCTGCGTTTCTTCTGCGTTTCTCTTCTGCGTTTCTTCTGTTTCTTCTGCGTTTCTTCTGTTTCTTCTGCGTTTCTTCTGTTTCTTCTGTTTCTTCTGCGTTTCTCTTGCGTTTCTTCTTCTGTTTCTTCTGCGTTTCTTCTCTTTTTTTTCTCTTTTCTGTGTTTCTTCTGCGTTTCTTCTGTTTCTTCTGCGTTTCTTCTGTTTCTTCTGTTTCTTCTGCGTTTCTCTTCTGCGTTTCTCTTCTGCGTTTCTTCTGCGTTTCTTCTGCGTTTCTTCTGCGTTTCTTCTGTTTCTTCTGCGTTTCTTCTGCGTTTCTCTTCTGCGTTTCTTCTGTTTCTTCTGCGTTTCTTCTGTTTCTTGTGTTTCTTCTGCGTTTCTTCTGTTTCTTGTGTTTCTTCTGTTTCTTCTGCGTTTCTTCTGTTTCTTCTGCGTTTCTTCTGTTTCTTCTGTGTTTCTTCTGTTTCTTCTGCGTTTCTTCTGTTTCTTCTGCGTTTCTTCTGTTTCTTCTGCGTTTCTTCTGTTTCTTCTGCGTTTCTTCTGTTTCTTCTGCGTTTCTTCTGTTTCTTCTGCGTTTCTTCTGTTTCTTCTGTTTCTTCTGCGTTTCTCTTCTGCGTTTCTCTTCTGCGTTTCTTCTGCGTTTCTTCTGTGTTTCTTCTGTTTCTTCAGACTCAGCATGAAGCTTCTGCCGGCTCAATCTAACTTGAGTTTGTTTCTAGTGTCTCAGGCCTTAAAAATCGGGGACAACAACGTCATCGAGTCTAAAGGTGAGCGTCTGAAGCATGTCGACGAGTAACGTGTGTACAGTGATGTGTTTAATGTGTGTGTGTTGTAACGGTGGTTGTATTGTCCCAAAATATAACAAAAATAACAAACACACACACAAAAAAAACCCTATCTGAAGCGGGAACTGAACCCGGGTCACCCGTGTGATGACGCTGAATCCTAACCGCAAAACCACGTTTTGTTCTTAACGATGACTGCACTCAGACTTTACTCGACTCTCAGACCGAAAGCCTCAAACATACAATCGGTTATTAATGTTTGGGCACCAGACAAGTATATACCTGCCACATCTTTATATTAATTTCATTCATCCCTGATAGCACATCAGACAAACAAAACCATCCACTACATACAAAAGAGTTAACGATAGAACAAAGGCAACAATACAGGAAAAGTTGTATGCAACTTTCTTTGTTTTTAATGAGGTATCGTTAATATAATATGGACACGTTTTTAGATCTCTAAGCACCACAATTCCACTTAAAAAAAAGAAAAGAAAAATAATCTTTTTAAATATGCAGAAATTAATGCAATGAATGTATGCGTGACTGCGATTAGAGCAAACACTGACTAAGGTCTGTCGTGCTGCTGAGTGGTTTGTGATTGTAGCTCGGTATAGCTTCGCTTTTCTGTTGAATCTCTATCTTACTATCACTCGCTGTTGTTTAAAGTGATAAACTATAACTTAATTCCCACCATATTTCTGATATTATCTATCAAACTAATCTGATTTTATTTTAAAACTACGAGTGCAGCACGCGTGCAGCGTGTTAGCATTGATTAGCCGGTTAGCTTGTCATTTGCGTCTATTGCTGTTTTCTTTTTTTTCTCTCGCTCCGTTTCTTTTCTCTCTCGCTCTGTTTTTGCACGAGTTCATCAAACAACAGTGGTAAGTCAGAATCATCCATCAATCACGGTGAGTAATGGCTTCTTCTCCTGCTATTGTTGTTTGCACCGCTTGCCACATGTATAGTTTATCTCTCTCTGTCGGTGACGAGGGATTCACGTGATAAATGCAGGGAAATAGTTAGGCTGACAGAGAAGATTTCAGAATTAGAGACACGCATCCAAACTTTAATTGAGGACCGTAAGAATGTGAGGGCTCTAGATACGGCTTTGGATGCGACAAGCTCAGGGAGTCCTGTACATTGTTCTGTTCCGGTTACAGAGCCTCCGCAGCAGGGCGACTGGGTGACTGTGAGGTGGCATAGTCGTGGGTCAAAACACCGCTCTTCCATTCTG